GGCGGGGCAGCCCTCCGCCCCGGAGAGTGTACTTTTTTGCCTTTTTAGTTTGTGCAACCAAGTGTTTTCCGCCCGCGCTTCCCACCGGACTGTTTGCTGGGAACTCGGCAGGTGGCACGCTTTGCTGCGCTTCGCGTGCGTGTCTCGGGCGGGGTGCCGAGGGGGGCTAGGGGCCCCGGATCGCTGCTGCGGGGCCGCCGGGAGGGTGGTACCGGGAACATCCAGGCCTGACCCACACGGGGAGACCCCGCCCTGCGGCCCAGCAAAAGTTGGAAAGCCACTTTCCAGCGTGCTCCGCGTGGTTTTTCCTGCAAGGCGAGTGCACCAGTCCAAGCTTCTTTTTGCGCGGCGGCTGGATTTCGCCGCCGCCCCCCCACCTCCCCTCCCATGGATTTAACCAAGCACCTGTTCAACGAGACAAGGTCAGCTGAGCAAAGAAATCCTTTCGAGTGGTCGCCGGGCCCTGCGCCCCGCCCGGCAGCATCGGAGACCCGCTGGGCCTTGGCTTCGGGCCGGCGCAGCCTAGGGGTTAAAAGCAAAATGTCTGATCCTAGCTGTGTCCTTGCAAACAAGGTTTGCAAATGACACCTCCCCTCCCCCCTCCCGCTCCCGGCTGGTCCCTGGAGAAAGTGGAAGCCAGCGCCTTTAAAAAAATTTTTTCTGAAACAACTGAAAGTGTTCAGTTCTCACATGGTCTAACAGTTTAGACTGGAGAAGGTATTATGAAGCTTAGTGCCTTTAATTGTTGGGCTGCATTCTTGATCTGTGCTACCGGAAAAATAGACTTTAACAACAAAGGGGCCAGCCCCCGCCAACCCACCCGCAGAGGCCTTTGGTTGACCCGAGGCCCTCAGCGGACCAACAGACCAGAGAGAGACCTGTGTGAGCACAGCTATAGTGAAGAGAGGAGCTTGCATTTAGAGGAGGCGAATGGGATTTTAGGGTTGGGGGAAACAGCTTGATTTCAGCAGCTAAGAACTTTGGAATTCTTGAATGCTGTAGGCCCTTGAATCTTTAAAATCAGTTTCCCTCCTCCTCCCCGTGTAACACCTGCTGGGTCTGCAGGGCAGGCCAGCCACCGATAACTCAGCCTTCTTCCAGTGGAAATAATTGTTACACTGTAAATCTGGAATGCAAGGTGTTTTCTGTTAATTAATGGATGAGGTTTTGTGTCTCTGAATTCTTTGGAGGAGCATGTAGCTGGGCCCCTCACCCACATGGGGAACTTGAGCTTGTGAGTGCAGAAATGATTGTGGAATATATATTCTTCTTGGCATCCTCCGCACCAAATGCTGGCCAAAGCTGATGGCTTCCTTGAAATTCTGTGGAAGCAAATAATGTCAAAGGGAAAGTATTGGAGCAGGAAGGTGTCCTTGGGACGGAGCTTCCGGGAACATTGTCATACATTAGCCAGGGATCGCTGTCGTGGCAAGGCTAGCAGAATGCTTGCTAAAACTTGTTACTGCTGCTGTGCTTCTCTGGGATTAAAGCTGCTCAGAGCCCTGCCTAGAGGAGCCCTGGTGGCATAGTGGTTATGCTTTGGGCTGCTAACCAACTAGGTCAGCAGTTCAAAACTACCAGCTGCTCCTCAGGAGAAAAGTGAGGCTTTTTACTTCCATAAAGAGTTAGGCTTGGAAACTCAGAGGGGGCAGTCTGTAGTGGAACTGTAAGTTGGCATCCAGTGAGAGGGGAGAGGCCCAGCCTGAGGAACTGTATCTTTCCCTAGATCCAGTGTCAGGAGCGGCTGTGGTCCTCCCAGGAAAACCAGCACACCCAGGTTATTGCACATCAGTTGTCTGCCCCTTTGAAATGGACAAGGCGGATGTCAGTAATGGAGACTGGGAGCCCAGAAAGCCTGGTGCAGCTTCCTAGCCTCTGTGCTCCCATGAGAGGTCGTCAGAGAGTCCGAGTTCCAATTCCTGCCCAGCATTTAGCAGCTGTTAACTTGCTTTAATCTTCGTGAGTTTTAGTCTCCTAATCTGTAAACCTGATAATACTGTTTGCTTACTAGGGTTGTGAATGAGGAGTAAGGGATAACATGCCAAGTGCCTGGCGTGGGTGCTTGGTGACTAAAAGGTAACTGTTAACTGATAATGGCAAATTGGTCGTCACTGAGTTCCTTCTGTCATTTATTGTGTGCCTCGTGGTGGATTTGATTCATTACTGCACTAGAGGATGGAGTAGAACTACTTCAATGGCTCTGATAGTGTCCTAGGCTTATCATTTCCAGCAGACAAGAACTCCAGGCCTTTACCCCCTCAAGAAGTTAGTTGTTGTGGTCAAATCGCCAACCCTTTATTTCCCAGGCACGTGCTTCAGTTTGGGGCCACCAGGGACCTTTGCATTCCGCCTGTGTGCCAGGTGCAGTGTCCAAGGTGTTAACCAGCTTGTGACGGTAAAAGGAGGGGTAATTGCGAAGTCAGCCAAAGGTTGTCATAGTTTGGCTAATTGATACTTTAAATGCAGTCACATTTATGAAATGTGATTTCATAGTGAAGGAAAACATCAAAGATAGTGAACAACAGAGAAGTTGAGTATTAAAGAAAGCCCATCTAGGTTTCAGGTCTACACATTTAACTGCTGACTACAAGGTCAGCCCCCACCATCCACTCCTTGGGAGAAAGATGAGGCTTGCTTCATCCCCAAAGATTTCCAGCCTCAGAAATCCATACCGGCAGTTCTGTGTGTAAGATCACCATGCACTGGAATTGATTCAGTGAAAATGAGTTTAGAGTTTGTTTTTTTTAAATCATAGGTTTTTGTGGATTAAATTGTCTATAGTGCTATTTAGTAACATTCTCAACTCCAGTTAAGAGTATTTATTTTAATGTCATTTTATGAGGGTTCCCTGTTAAGATTTTATAACGGGCTCACGTTGATCTGAGAAGCGCAAAACGTAAAACTCTGAGGAGTTTAGTATAGAACCCTAAACTGGAGACCGAGGAGCTTGGTTCGTGGTTGGCTGAGTTACCGGGCTCAGGGGCTGAGCTCTTTGGAATCTTTGATGTCTCAGGTAGGTAAGGGTGAGCCCTCCCCGGAGGGCTGGTATGTCTGTCCTGTGAGTCATCGCTCTGGGATCCTCCAGGAAGGGGTGGATGTAAGACTGCAGAGCAGGATACCTGGAAGGAGGAGGCCAATCTGTGAGTCCTGATGTCTACCGATCAGTGGTGTAGTGGTTATGCATTGGGTTGCTAATACAAGGTTGGTGGTTTGAAACCACCAGGTGCTCCACGGAAGAAAGATGGGGCTTTCTACTCCCGTAAATAGTTACTATATGGGAAACCCACAGGGACCCTGTCCTGAAGGGTCTATGTGAGTTGGAATCAGCTCAATGGCAGTAGTTTTGGTTTTTGTGGTTTTTTAAAAAAATCCAGCTAGCTCACTTGACAGATTGAAGCAATTGAAGCCCAAGTTCTGAAATGTCTCATCCAATAGCCTCACCACTACTTCAGCAGGATCTCACCAGAGGCTGCGTTTGGACTTGCCATTTCTGACTTGTGCGCCTGCCATTACTAAAAGGAGAAATCAGAAATGTCCTTCAGACCTGAAAGACTTGGCCGGCATCTGAGTTTTGGAAATGTACTGAATTATATTGACTTTTTTTTTTTTTTAACTGCATCACTTACGGGGCAGGGCTGTCGATGTAAATTCCTTGCACTAGGCCTCTCTTCCTGTTGACCCTTCTTCCAGCGGGTGCCCGAGCCCCTCTTGGGCCCTTCCTTGCGTACCCCCCTGGGTCCCACCCTCAGGCTTCATTCTGAGAAAACCCAGTGAGGTGTGACTGTCAGCCCGCCAAGGATCAGAACTGTGCCCAGGATGTGTAGCTAAGCCCTTGCTTCCTTGCATTCACCCTGTCGGAGTGCCATGTGGCCAAGGGCCATCTTCTAGCCACAGCGCGTGGTCACCTTGAGCCCTGACAGTGAAGAAAGAGTGGAGGTGGAGGTGGAGCTGGAGACCCAGAGGAAGTCTCCGAGGA